GATTTGGATTCCCACACGTGACTTCCAGGTCTGCCTCAGTCTCTTCTCTCAGTGGGGAATGCCAAATACATCTTCTGACGAGGGCAACCATTAGATAAATGGCCTGTACTTGATATAGAGTCTTTTAGGGTTCTACAACCCCCCAAGGCGCTTTACAGCTAAATCAGTCATTTACTCATGCAAACACATGTACACAATGGTGCCCCGGGGCACACTGACAGTGGTAAGGCTGCCAAACCCTGGTGCCACCGCAAGAGTGAAGTACGTTACACAGCTCATAAAGTCCCCTTCAGACAGGCCATGAAAAACGGAAACGTTCCGGACTCTGTCTGTAAGACCTTTGTGTCTGAATACAAACATCCGGATAACGTTTTCCATAATTAAACCGGACAACGCCCCTAGTAACAGGTCCGGACTTGTCATGGACAAGGTGGCTGCTTCAGACTGGTGGGGTCGAGTTCCGGACAGGGAGGGGGGGAGGGGACCGGGGGACGCTGTGCGCACCTAGATAGCTCGCTCCTGTAGCATGCGGCGGACCATGGCAGCTCGCCTCCTACGGTACCGCCTAGACGCACGACGGAGTGCTTCACACCGCTTCCGTGATTCCTTTAACCATTGAGCTTCATCATCCAGGTCTCTTATGCGTCCTCGTGTGCGCAGAATTATGCTTAACATACCCCCCCGACATCTGGAATTTTTCTCTGCTGTGTGAAGGCAGCCGAAAGGACAAGTTCCGGTACAAAAGTGGTGTGTCTGAAAACACAGTTCTGGTTAAAAACTGGACTGAATTGTCCACACATATTCCAGAATGTCAATCTGAAAAGGGTTATAGTTTCACGTTCCAATGCTGTTCCAAAATCAAACCTCCTGGTGGAGCTTTTGTTGGTCTGTGACTTCAAAACTCACACTCATGAAATAAGATTAAGAAGATCAGATTAAATGAGAAGACGTTAATCATAACTAAACTGCTGTTTTATTGCCTTTTCCTGGTAAACTCTATTGCTAAAGCTTTGGGACTTTGTGAGTCTTGTACTCAAAAGACTCATCTCACACTTTGCGGTTCAAAATAATAAAAGCAAACGGATGTCTGCCAAAAGAGAAAACACAAACATCATCCAAGCTGCACGCTTTCTGTCTTTGGTGATCCAGATATCTCTCAGTGCTGCTTGCTATTTTTTTTTCCTCCTCAGGAGGTCTGGTAGCTCTTCAACCTTTCATTGACTAGGCATCCATTACACACATGGGCAGTGGTGTTGCAGATGCAGCAGCAGCAAGTCAGCTGTGTCCCTCCTCAGACTGTCTCCGGTCCACAGGTTTCACATCTGCTGCTTGGGCACAAAACTCATCGTCCTCCAGAACCTCCTGCAAACTGCCTCTCACCCCGTGAGCAAAAACAATTCCAGACATGCTTTATTTCATGTCCATCTGTTCTGTCCTACCAACCTTGTCACACTGTTAAAAAATGACATAATTAAACCTCAATGTTAAATTGGAATACAGCGGATGCTCTGACAACCATCACACTTGGGACTTCACCGGCGCGGTTTCCTGGTTTTGGATTAGAATATTCACTAAGAGCAGGTCTTGGTTTCTTGGAGAGAGATTTGTGTGTGAGAGGAAGTGTGTCTGTGTGTGTGCACCGTTGGTGCCTCATTCTCATTCATATGCAACAGCAAGTTATCACGGACTGCTGTGCCTCATTGAGCTGAGAAGGTGCATTCCATTTATTTCTCAAATGCTGCGGAAAGTGATTCTTCTTCTGCTTAATAAAACTTACCAAGCTTTTAACAACTTCTCCTAGAAATAGGCTTATGGGCAAAGTAATAATAAAATGTGTTGTGCTCTGACATGATGCTGGTTTAAAATGTAAGTCTGACAGTAAAAATATCTGCCATCGGAACTTCATTCAGCCTAATTTTGAGTTTTATACTAATGTGAAAGAAATCCATGTCAATCAGGACTGTTAATGTCCTTCCACATAAGAAAAATCTCCTTCTGGTTGGTCTATGCTAAGTAGCTTTTCCTCAACATCTGCCGTCCTGCTAATTAGACCCCGAAAAGCCACACATCACTGAGTTTTAGTGGCGTAGGAACAACGTGCGACACCAGCACGAGGGAGCTCACGGACACAACAGGAATAACAAACCCCGGCGCCATCGCACAGAATCTGGAACAGTTTTGTGTTTGAGGAAAAAGGTCAAGAGCCAAGCTGGTCAAGTCGGGTTCGCCAAAGGATGGAAGCTGCCAAACTTTTGGAAGTTTTCATCTTCAACGGCAAGAGACACTTGCAGGAAGCTGAGCTGGAGTGGGATCCAGCAGCGAGCAGCTGGAGCAAAGGTTGAATGAAATGCAATCAGTCAAGATGAGCAATCAGAGAAATCAACCGGAGAAAGACAGACAGCAGCAAAAAGGACTAAAGGTGGCCATGCATTAATCAGTCCCGTAGGTGGGACTGAGAGGAGAGCAGTCAGGAGGTTCCTCTCATCCTCCAGTTCAGCCAAAGAAAGCAGATTCAATATATCAAAAAGTGTCAGCTCACCGAGATAGCTCTGCAGGCCAGCTGAGAAAGGTGAACACATTTTCATGCAGAACACCTGCAGCCGTGAGAATAGAAGAAAAGAGAGAGAATCCAGAAACAGAGAGGGAGGAGAATCCAGCTAGCAATAAATCTCCAACAGCTTGTTGGGTCAGGCAGAGGAAGAAAGTGTCAAAATAGTTTCTCCGTGAGAGGAGAGGAAGAGGGGGGTGTCTGACAAAACCCTGCAAAGGACTCATGCCCTTCAATCCACCAGCAACAAGCTGGACAATCTGCACAAGCAGGCTAACTCTGCCTCATCTGCATACACAGATTCATCATTTTAGCATAATCCCTGCAGATTCTCAGCCACACACACACACACACACACACACACACACACACACACACACACACACACACACACATGTGGGTGTGTGATCATCTCTACGTTTGAACACGTCTGAAACAGAAGAAAAGACAAATCATTCAAGTAAAAGGTGGAAAAATGGTGAAAGCAAACCACTCGCAGCTAGCTGGGCAGACAATGTAAAAGGAAGAGGACTAAATTGCCAGCGGTGTGAGAAGAGTTTCCAATTGTGAAAACACACTTTCTGACCAAACAATGCAACGACATACTTTTACAGCTGCAGGGAATTCAGCTCTCCTCGGTTCCTGCCATGCTCTTCTATCCTACCCGTTATTTAACAGTTTTTTTTTCTTTCTGTGCTGTTGCCAAGAATGTGCTGCTTGTTTTTTAGTCTCAGAGGACATCTGCAAGCATGTGCACAGATGTACGACTGTAGGAAGAGCGTTTTTGGTACAGTATGTTTCTCGTCTTTTTCCCCTCACTCTGTTTTGAACACATTCTCCCTGTTTCTTAATATTCCTTCACTCTGCCTCTTTAACATTACATTTCCACCTGTCTTTATCCTCCACAGTTTTTAACCTTCTGTCCCATGGTGGTGATCAAAAGGTAGGTGCTGATGCTGCAGCTCGTGCCTGAACAAGCTCAGTTTATCGTGGGTGGACAGTCGATCCAGAGAGTTCCTGTCAGTGCTGACTGGGCCCCAGACATCAAAACCTGCTTTGCAAACACCGATCTGTTATTTCAAACAAAGGAGTCGGAACTACCCATCAACAAAAATGGCAGAGAGAACCAGAAAAGGCAATAGTGACAATAAATTACATTTTTTATGGTTTTTCTGTTGGGAGGAAGTAGTTCAGTCACGATTTACTGTAACTGATTCTAACTTTTAGGGTCCATTGATAGTTCTAAATATGTGCCAGCATTTAAAAGACCTTTAGTGCATTCTGCTGCTGCACAGGCTTCTGCCAGATCATCACTGTTTTAATCGTTAATGCATCTCAATCAGTGTGCAGCAACAGAGTTTGACTCCATCTCAAGTTGCACACAAACACTACAGTGGTTGACTCTAAGCGGGTTTACCTCCCCTGCTTCGGCTCTCCCTGCCACTTTACAACGGGAAAGTGAGACGTTTCACGACTAATTAATGCACAGGTTGGTTGTATAAAACAGCTAATGAGGCTGTGATCACAGCGGCGTGAAGGCAGGCAAGACTGAAGAGGAGGGAATAAGTGCTCCACTCCACTTTCAGGAGACACGGAGGTTTCCCAGTGATTAGCCTGTCACAGGAACAACACCGACGGAGAGACTAGCTGTGATAGAGTGCCCGTTTGGATGTTTGGCTTCGCTTCAGTTGCTTTGTTTACTTGATGTTTACTGCCAACTTGTTTTAAAAACCGAACCCCTTCACGCGTCCCTCACCTGCAAGCCATCTGGGACGAAAACCCTGCAGGAAAGGAACTACACATGTAGAGTTATCGATGAAAGAGTGAGTCCCTCATCATCAGAACAAAGTGGAAAACGACTGAAGCAAGGTTTGTCTGATGAAGCTAATTATTAATGAAGCTTTTAAGGTTTGGAGATTTACATGCATGTATCCACTCTCATTGTCGTTGAGACTATGACACACAACATCCTCTGCTTTCTTAGAAATAAAAGGAAAGAACTGTTCGAAGCATAAAAAACAAACAAAAAAGCATAAAAAACTTTTCTTGAAAAAGAATGCCAAACAAAACATCCTGCAAAAAATAAATAAATAAATAAATAAATAAAAACTAAAATAATAATAAGTGGCACAAACACTGAATATAGTAGTACCCAGGTGCTGCTAAAAACTTGCTCTCTCAGCACAGTTCATCTAGCAGGATGAATGGGCTGCACAGTAGCTGCTCTCTAAGCAACTGTTCATTACTCAAAACACATCTGCTGTTGAGTAAGAGCACCCCCACTTCTCCATTATTCCACCTCACTTTCATTTTACACACTAATCCCTCATTCCCAGCTTTACCATCTTTGACCTAATACACTTTCCACAAGGCTCCAGACTAGAACTGCTCTCATCTCAGCATGCATAATGAATTGCATCAAACAACATGCAGAATCGATGCCAGAGCTCACCTGTGCAATCTCATACAGCAGCTTGTAGTGTTCCTCTCGCTTCTGTAAACTGCACAAATTGCAGCCCATTATAGTTGTCGTGGAAATACCAAATGCTTAAGACTCCCCAGGTAGTGGTGGTACAGACACAGGGGGGTCAGCATCCACACCGGAGTACCAGCTGTCATCAGTCACTCCTCAGCGAGCAGCAGCATCCCTTCCTTGGCATCCCATTCACACATTCAGAGAGTCAAAAACAAGCCCGGCTCAGAGCTGTTGAGTCTTCAGATGCAGCGAGCGTCGGAGCAGCTTCAGCAGCAGGACAAGTAACAGCAGCCGTCTGCACCTCTCTCCCTGTTTTAGCCTCACGCGCGCAAATGATCACACACCAGAGTTGTGACTCCCGTTCATTGAGACACCCCCCACCCCCCTTTCTCCTCCTTGGTCTCGGCGCACATGACAACATCGATACCAGCTCATGTATAGTGAGTAAAATCACTGTGATATTAATGAGGAAGGTGGGAAGAGGAGGAGGAGTCAGACTCAAGAGGGAGGAGAATGCCAGAGCAGGAGCAGCGCTCTGTAAAAAATGATGCACAGTTACACAATAAGCTTCTTTGTGTGAGGAGGACTGGCGAGAAGCCCCGAGACACCAAACAGGGCAGTTTGTGTGTTGCATTCCTTCACTTGATGCTATTCAGTGATCATTTGTTTGCCTGGGGAATGCAACGGTGTGTCTTCATCATCACCTGCTGCAAAAAGAGTAAAGGTGGGCAATAAGGTGTTAACCTGTGTCTGTTGGTGCATATGTGTGTCAACAAAATCTCTCATAAGCCACTGGATGTTTTTAAAGAAACGTCCATAAAGGAATCAATGGATGTGCAACTGATTAACTTCAGGAAGAAACCCAAATTAAGCTAATTGCCTCAGCTAATCAGCGTTAGTAAACATAGAAATGGATTCAACCCAGTAAAAATATCACAGATATAGATGAACTACAACTAGTGATGTGTTTGTAGCTGAGGGTCATTTAAAATGAATACTCTGATTACTGCAGGAGATCTTGTACTAGTGAGTCACTGAACATTTGTTCCAAACAGCTGCGATGCTCTCATTTCTTCCCAGAGCATTATGACACGTTCCTGATCATATAAGCATTAAGCAAATGTATGAGATCAGCTAGTTTGCACATAAAAAGTAGTTAGTTTAAAAAAAATTAAGAAAAGCAAATAAAGTCATTTATCCATCTATAATTAAAAATCCATTCTGTGATCCCCACAACATAACATACAGCTTTTCACGAGCACATACACAAAGATAAGGTTGTCATAAATCTTCAAAAAAGCTCTTTTTTTTTGGCCAAGGCAACACGTGATGATGACTGAAGAATCCTTTGTTGCATATTTTTCATGCAGGCACCACAGGTGATGTTGTTTGTGGGGGTTCTTGGACTAAATTGGCAATCAAGAAAGCCAGACTTGAGAGACAATGCATCATCCTGCACCATCCCTCAAACTGTGATAATTGCAAGACAATAGACCTTGGTTATTGTCTCCGCTCTGGAACCCTCTTTCATGAGCAGGAAGCTGCACTAACGAGCAATAACAGTTAACAAATTGGCCTCCCAGCCAACAGCGTGGTTCACCGTGCGGGGTACAGCTACGACTAGATGAGCCTTCATCAGCTGGCTACTGGGCATCCCACCCTTAGGGACTCTATAATCCGATTTTCTGGGCTTTAATTTCACTCTGCTGCCTGGAGGCAAGCCAAACAGAAAGCCACATCACCATTATTATTAATACCACCTCAATCCTTCCTCTACCTCTCCTCCATCTGAACCATACTCCCAAAACCAGACGCTCCTCAAACCTGAAGAAGCCACAAGGAGTGGGTTTTCTGCAGTTGCCAGGCAATGTCAAATCCATGAAGAGCTGTTCACTAAAGTGTCAATTTGACATCAAAGAGTCTTGTTGGGGAAACTAGGGAGCTGGGCTATAATACAGCATTTGATGAACAGAGGTGCTGTTTGCTCACGGTACAATGGGCTGTGGAGAAAATGGGAGTCAGAGGCAGCCTTCTGAAATTGAAAATCAAGGACTGAAGCTGTGAAGTGGTTGAGAACATGAAGGACTGGTCACCAGAGATGGGAAAATGTAAAACCACTGAGGATGAAATAAAAGGTTCTTCCAGCACAGAATTCCAACTTTCCCTTCCTGAATCCATCTGTCTGGGACTTGATGACCATTGTTCTGCACTCCATGACCTCGGAAGGTTAAAAAGCTCATCGGTCACCTAAATGGTCCTTCTCATCACCTGCGAAGCGAGACTGATACAGCAGCACCTGCCTGTAGTCAAGCAGAACCTCTTGATGAGACATGCAGATTGAAGGATGTTCTTTTAGGAGCACATTAGGAGTCTTTAAAGTGCTTTGGAAGTGCTGATGCTCACTGGGGTTGCAGTGTGTCAAGGTAAATTTACCCAAGACTGCATTCCCAGGGTAATCTGAGGGCTAGATTTGTACTCTGTAGTCACATTTAATAAAATCATTGCATTTGTCACTAAGGGAAGATCTATTATTTGTCTTTCTATGTTTCACCGGGGACTAGGACATGTAACTGATTACATTAATTCATGTAATATTTAGCTTTGTGTAAAAAATACATAAATCTTTATTAAAGACAATGTCTTTAATTTGTGTCCTCTCAGTGTCTCAACCATATGTCAGGTTTTGTTCCAGCTTCCATAAAAGATCCCACCTGTGTCTGACTGACACCAGATCATAAGCCAGCCTTAATGTGGTTGGTCTTTGCAGGGTTTTGGCAAGTTTTTGAGGGGGACTATTAGGAATGCAACAGGGTCTTTATTACTCACGCTAAAGCAAGACAATGATGGTTTTAGAGCATGCAGAAACTGAAGTAGCAAGGTCATGGTATGGAGGCGGCATGTCTCTCATATGGGATCTGGCAGACGCCAACATTGCTTGATCATTAAGAACACTGACTGGTCCTGGGGGCCTCATGACAACGCCATGTCGTTGGAAATGTGTTTACAAGGCATGGTCCTTCAGCATGGAGGTTTAAGAGTCATGCCAGGATGGGGCTCAGGTGTGATGAAGTTACGGGTATATGTGAAAAGGGAGATGAAAACATTCCCTGAATTGTGTGAAAAATACACACACACACATAAAAAGTACTTAGCAACAAACACACAATAGATCAAGTTACTCCTCAAGCATGTGACAATCCAATTCCTATGGATTTCTTGGTTTGAGATTAACTCCCGGTTAATCTGAGATTAACTACTGGTTAGATCAGTTAAAATTTCTGCTGTGTGATTTTCAAATTACGGCATGACTTCTGCTGGAATGACTAAAAAAACAAAGACTTTTAATTTTTCTAGCCTCAGTTTTTCAGGACATAGCTGACTGTGGTTATTGGGAGGAGTTTATGTCTAGCCATGAAGCCCATCATTGGACCCAGGACTGACTGGGACCAGAAATCATTCCAGTTATGTTACAAAAACATTGATATCCCATTGTGTGCATGTGTGTATGGTTACCATGACAACAAACAAGAAAGCAACAGTAATAAAGCTGAAGATTTAATAAAAAGGAATTATTGGCGTAATTACTTGTCTGGGGAGATGTCTGTCAGGAATTTCAAATGATCCCACCATATTCAATACATAAACACCTTTATTGGGTCAGCTCTGACATGCCTGGTGGGTGGAAATCTGTTTTCTCTGAAGACTGAAATGAGCACACGAGCGATCTGAGTGCGATATGTGTCTAGATGCGTGGTTTAGATCTGATCGCACTCTGCCACTATACAGTGACCACATCTCCTGGGTATCAATGTGACCTGATTCGGGAGTAATTAAATGAGGGCCTTTTATGAATGAATCATCGAGGCAGCAGCTCCTCTGGTGACAGCTTTGACAGAAAGTGGTCCAGCATGCACATTCAAACACCCAGGTGGGTGCTTCAACGCCAGAGCAGCCGTGGTGAGAAGGCCAAAACATCTTTCTCAATGAAAATAAATTATTAAAGAGGTGTGAATCTTTAATTCATGTGGGAACATGATTGTGGCTAAAAATAGCACATTTAAGTCTACCTCACATGGTCACACCTGCAATGTTGCTTTTATATATATATATATATATATATATATATATATATATATATATATATATATATATATATATACATATATATATATATATATATATATATATATATATATATATATATATATATACATATATATATATATATATATATATATATATATATATATATATATATATATATATATATACTGTATATATACACCTTCTCAGTGACCTAGTGGTAAGGACTGGGAGATTGGGGTTCAAATCCCAGTTGGGACTTACTAAAGACATAAATAAATAAGACCCAATGCCTCCCTGCTTGACACTCAGCTTCAAGGGGATAGGATTGGGTGGTTAAACCACCAAACAGTTCCCGAGCGCAGCCACAGCTGCAGCTCACCACTCCCCGTGAGAATAGGTTAAATTCGAAGACGCATGTCACCAGTGTGGGATGAATAATGGGACTTTAACTTTATAATTGGTCACTCTGAGTGTTTCATGCAGGCTGAACATGGAAATAATCTTCTACACCTATCTCCTGAATTAGCTTCTGATAGAAAATACGTAGATCGTGAAACTCTAGGATTTGAAAAGGCTGACAGATCTTCACCACTCTGTCACATAACATTCATGAACTCACGATGGGGAAGGCATGAAACAACAGAGAAAGAAAGAAAAGTATAGAAGCAAAACCATACATGGATGCAGCTAGTTGAATGTTAATCAAATGACAATGGGCCCATCCAATGATGGTTCAGCAGAAAGGGCTTTAACGCCCTTGTTTTATCCCTTCACATAGCATTGTCTCCTCCCGCTTTGTGTGCGGTAAGCAATATGCAGAAAACTGTTGACCCACTAGTAACTTTTGAAATTGCTTGAAAATAGTGATGCCCCAAATTTTCATAGGGTTGTTGTTCTAGAACAAAGAGCTTTCAGCAAAAAGAAATAAGCAGTTTTGTCTGTCACAAATTTGCTGCTGAGTTCAGAGCATGGCACACGATTGTGTAGGCAAAAGGAATCAGGAATTTATTCCTTTTATTAACACAAAGTATAATGAAATCATGAAAACTTTGCAACAATATTGTGATTAAACCAACCTTACATCAACATGTTAGAACTTTCTTATGTGTGAACCAGGTGAGTCCCGTTGTGAGAGCGATACATGTTACATCAGTTTAACACGTGTTTGAGCAATGACCTTTTCATGGAAGAAACAGTCAACTTGATGCATTGGGGTTGCAGGAGCATGGAGGAACGAGGAGAGCCTGAGTGAAAGACTAGACATTTTCACTTCCCCCTCTACTGGATACGCCTGTCTGTTTTCATATTCATTCAACCCCAGGCAGCAGAGTGTGTGGTTCACACCAACTGCTGCCATGAAAATACTCACAAACACATCACACTGTGACCCCGACAGCACCCATGTAGCAGCACACCCTCAGGATAGCCTGTGCTGCTGCTGCACCTGCCTCCAAACAGTTCAAGGGGAATTAAGGGTGAAATGTTGTTAAAATTTGCCCCTACACTGTGAGGAACAGTGATACTCCCAGATGCACCACTGAAGAATTGCACGTAAATAAAAGGGATAGTTATGAAAAATTTATTAAGAGAAATAAAGAACCAGTGCATTATTTTGCTATATTTGCACACTATATTAGAGAATTGCTGTGTATTCTGGGGTACAACTCTCTTTATGAAGAAGTTTGAGACGTTATAATAGGATACGGTTCAATTTGATATGAAACAATATCATCATCATCATCATCATCATCATCATCATCATCAACTTTATTATTATACTCAAAGTCCACATTAAACAACAACATAAAACAACATAAAAAACTGTACAAAATTTTAAAACTATACAAAAATTCTAAAAGTCATAAATTCCAATGTCTCCACATGGATGAATGGTAATGCACTGCACTAAAACTGGGACCAACCAGCATCTAGACAGGTGTGTTCTCAGTGCTTTTCAAATTAGAGCTTGGAAGGTCCTGACATGAGCATTACAGAACAAAGGGCTGGCACTTCTGAACCTGGGCTTCCTGAGCAGAGTCCTTAATGCATCATTATAGGCTACTTTAACTGGCAACGAGTGAAAAGGTAAATGTGTAAAACAACAATGTTTATTATTGGGGAACGTTTTGTAACCGTTTGTTACAAATCAGTAAATGTGTTTTTTCCTCAAGGGCTTCCGTAGAAGGAAACATGGCATCCAATATGGCATCACCCAAAGACCTATGGTGTTTCTCAATGCCAAGGAACCTTGCCTTGATGTCTTGGCCCCACCCTAGTTGCCTAGGAGATACGTCATCAGGAGCCGCCAAGACGTGTTCCAATGTTCATGTTCTACCGAGGCGTGTGGTCTCCGTTTGTTAGCCGTTTGCTAGCTGAGCGAGGATACACAGGGGGTGTCTTGTAGCCTAGCCTTGGTCAAAAATTTCCCTGAATACACAGCAGTATTTTCAAAAGGATGGTGGACCAGAAGCCGGCAGCTACTTCAGGGACAATTTTCAAGTTTTAAAGTAAGTCAACTAATTTAAAATGTTTTTAAGAACTAAAGAAGTTAGCTATTGTTGGTTGGTTAGTTGCTTAGTAGTTGCAGCTTCGGTGGCTAGAGAGTAGTAACTCGCTTACATATTTAATTTAACCAATATATACACAATTTATAAAGTAAAAGGCTCATTATATATTTATATTGAAATTAATACGCCGTGGAAGCCTCGGTCACGTGATGCAAGTCTGTTCCTGTTAACCAATTATCTTTGACCAAGAAAGGACAGTGTCCTTGTAAGAAGGTGCCTGGCCTCGCAAGACATCGCCTCGCAAGGCTAGGCGCCTTGACACTGAGAAACACCCTAAGACCTGCTCCATGATTTTTAGACCAGATTTTTATGGTTATATGTAGAGAAACTGCCAATATTTTTCAACAATTGGGCATATTTTAATTCATTTACAACAACATTCTGATGGATATTTCCAGAGATTATTGGTAAAAACTACACATTGTCACTTTAAGCTTCTGCAAGCTGGCTTTCTTACACTTACACCACAAGGGTACAGCATACAGAGGTGTATGGTAGGTTCTCAAGAGGAGGACCTTTACATTGTTGGAACACATGAAATCTCCTGACCAAAATATTGGCTTGAGCGTACAGAGTGCGACATCATCGATAAATGCCATTATCATCACTGAGCTGATCTATGATGATGTGACCCAAATATTTAGTTTTGCCACTAACAATTATCTTTTTGCCACCCAAATAAAAGTCTGAGAAACAAAGATCTCTATCTCATTTAGTCCGACAAATCAGTACAACACTCTTTTTTTGCATTATATATTGCACATCATACCCCTGCAGTCCTTAATCACAGCACATGTTCAGCAGCTGCTGAAAGCCAGCAGTGCTGTGCAGTGGCGGATTTAGCAATTTGGGGGCCCAAGGCGAACACAGACATGGGCCCCCTTACAATAAATTTTCGACAATCTTATCTTTAACTGGATTTGCGAAACTCTACCCTCTTCTGGCATGAGTTATTTTCACTTTTTATTAGTCCTCCTCTTTTTTCGTGTTTTTCTCTCCCATGCTTTCAGTATTTGCTCTGCTTTTTTCTTCTTGTCAGTGCTTCTGTGCTTTAGCCTTTTTTTTCCTTCTATTTTCCTTTTTGGTCAATATTTTCCCCCCTTTAAACATTTTCCATTGTCTTTCCTTTCTGCTTCCTTTTGATGTTTACATAGAAAAACGAGGTCACTTTTGGAAGTGAAGAGCTCTTTTAAAGCACGCTGCTTCTTTCTCTTATTGGAGCCACTAGGATAACTCCATTTTATGCTCTTTTAAAGCACGCTGCTTCTTTCTCTTATTGGAGCCACTAGGATAACTCCATTTTATGCTTAATGTTTGGACTGCCACTTCGAGTTTGTTACAAATGCTCCCACCTCTCTTCTTCTTTTTCTGCTTTCTCTTCTTCTTATTTGTTGTCTTATACTTGGCAAACAACAATTTGGTGCATTACTGCCACCAACTGGATTGAACTGGAATGACTACCAATCACTTCCTGTTTGTGCATCGGGGTCTTAAAGGAATAGTCCATTTTGTCCTTAACAGAGGGGTGCCAGCAGTCAATGCTAGGGCCCCAGGCGGCCGCCGACCTATGCCTAATGGTAAAACCGCCACTGGTGCTGTGAGAAAGAATGACCAAGTCATAAGCATACATGAAATGATTAATCAGATTGTTATCATACATCCAGTTTTACAGTTAAGTTGGTCTGACAACTCATCCATGGGGTTAAACAAAACCAGTGACAAAACAAAACCCTTGTGCACCCTGTTGCTAACACCAAAGGATGCTGATATGGTATTGCCCAGTTTTACTTGCATTTTCTGATTAGAATACTAGTATGCCAGAATTCTTACGACACTATAAGGGACACCTCTTTCACTTAATTTATAAAAAGTTTAAAATGGTTGACCCTGTCAAATGCCTTGGATGCATCAATAAATCTCATCAACACTGATGAGTTCTGTCTTAAATAAAGCTGAGCTGTCTCCTTCAGGCCATAAATACACAGATCTGTTCCCAGCATGGGTTTAAAGCCAAACTGGTTGTGTGTTGTAGTTATATAGTGACACAAATGATCGAGCAGCATCTTTTCATCTCAGTATCTCACAACTCAATGTAAGATGAAAGAATGCATGATGATACTGTAGCTGTCACCCTTGATTGGCCCACAAGATTTGTAAATAAGCCACACCCTTCCAGGAAGAGAGAAACATTAAATAGTTCTTTATTCAAGATAGGAAAGCATGCAGATGGGAATTGTTGTCATTGTAATCAGGAAGAGACTATTGATCATGTTATGATTAATTGCGAGAAATATACACTGGAGAGAAGGAT